ACGGCGTCGATGCATACACTCTCTGTCTTCCCTTAAACTAAGAGATTAAAATCACTTCAAATCTTTCTTTCTACGAACTAATTCTTTCCTTATATGCAATCCTTCTTTTATACATTACCACCATTGACTTAACCACTCCTACAAATCCGGTGTTCATCTTGTTGTGCTAATGCGGTATGGCAACTTGGACCGATGCATATGTATGCCTGGTCCTACGTTGCAGCTGACTGACTTATTAATTCCAGTTTCTTTTATTAGTCTGTGGAGTTGTCTTGTGTTCCCTATAGCCGCCGCCTTTCCCAACTCTTTTGCCCACCACTGCTCACGATCATTCCTTAGACTTTTGGTTAACCTAGATCTGATTTGTTTCCGCTCTTCATCGTGTTCAGATCCTGATGGGATGAGTTTACGCGAATCCATCAGTGCTATAGACCTTGAAGAAATCCATCGGTTTTTTGTAACCCTTTGGTTTAAATCACTAATAGATGTCACTGCTGTTTCCACAGCTGATTATATATATTTCCAAGCAACATCTGGGTCAGCCTCATTTTCAGAACCACCTAAGTGTGACCTCAGTTGTTCTTGGAACCTACTTTTGGTCTTCTCGTTACTCAGTTCAGTTCTAATGGATCTTTTTAGTGTGGCTTTTTTGCCTCCAGAGAGGCGCAAGCAGATGCGTGCCCGTATTAGGGCATGGTCGGGGTCCAAACAGGTACTCCAGAATGAGAGACAATCTTCTATCGACCCTCTCCAACGATGACTGATGGCAATATGGTCTATTTGAGTCCAACGTTGATTTGGTGCAGGAGGTCGCCATGTTAGACGGTGTCTCTCCTTATGCTTAAAATTCGTGTTCGCTCAAAATAAACGGTTGTCTGAGCATAGTTGCAGCAGACGATCATCATTATCTGTTCGCGGTGCCGGAATACTAAAATACCCACCTAAATGCTTTTCTGTTTGGTTTAAACTACCTATCTGGGCATTAAAGTCACCTCCTACGAGTACTATGTCTGGACGTCTAGCTTTCTGATGAAGTTCAGAGAGCTTTCTGTAAAATTCATCTTCCACTTCATCCGAGCTGCCGAGGTGAGGTCAAGTGAATGACCACACTAGGATCCTGTATGCGTGTTTCGGAGACACAGCATACATCAATGGTACGAGATTCTAGGGTTTTAGCCAAGGAAGCCCGCTGACCGATTTGACATAGGGTGTGTACGTTGAAGGCTCCAATGTGTAGTTTGGAGCGAGGTTTTAGTAGACCTGGGACAGTGTTTTGCGCACTAGAATCGTTGGCTATGGTGACACTTGAGGAGGAAACCGAAAGAGGAAGTTTAGAGTTGAAAGTCGATGTAGGAGGAATAATAGGAATTGAAGAGGGAGGTTGATTACGAATGCGGTGATCTTGAGTGCTGTTAGAGGTATGACGGCGGTTATCATTTCCCGGTTGTTCACACCATGGAAAGGCTCTTCTGGAGGTACCTGAAAAGGAAATTAGATTAAAAGTGGTCTTAATGACCGGAGAGCGTGACCGCAGTGCCCAAGGGACAACTGCTTGAGGTCGGTCACACACGACCTTTTTATAAGTAATTTTTGTGCCCGAGAATTCAGTCGATGAGAGCCTTATTTCCATCAGTAGATTTATGATGAAGTTAAACAAAAATGGAGGAAGTGGACAGCCTTGACGGACACCACTTGAGGTTGCAAAAGCAGATGACAGTTCGCCATAATCTTTGACTCGACTAGTAGTGTTCGAGTCACTAGCTCGAAGCTACGCATATTGCCCGTCAATGGACCATGACATAGAACAAAAGTACCGCAGCTGTTGGTCCTGTCCAGAGGTTGCAAAGAATACGCGCTGGTCTCGCCGGTTCAATACAAGGCAGGAATTACTTGTCGATGCTTCCACAAATGACCGGAAGTATACATGTTGAAAACGACGTCAGAGAACACAATAAGAAAATTGTCAGGATTGTTTGCTTGTTTTCGGGTTCCAGAGATCTGAGTAACTGATAAGGACTTTAGTTTATGTCATCTTTTCAACGGTTTTGCGGTGAAAATGGCATATCGCATCTACAGTCTCTTCTGTACCATCCTCAGTCACATGGCCAAGCAGACAGATTCGTGGACACGAAAAAAATAGGTCTGGTCAAATGGGGAGGAGAGGGTATTCCAGAACAAGTGATTAGTAAATTCTTACAGTTATCCTCAAGCCGACAGTGCCACAAGGAAAACCACTAGCTGAGTGTACATTCGGGAGGAAAATTTGGACAATCTTTTGTAGTATGTTGCCGACCAGCAAGACAAATAAACCCACGAACGAGTATCGGTCACTCGCAGCTTCCGGGTGGACGAAAGGGTATCTGTCAAGTCGTATCAAGGTAATAGGAAGTGGGGACCAGGGGTTATAGAACGTCGGATTGGAAATGTACTGTAATTAGTACAGAGAGCGGCACAACCTTCAACAGTGATGGACCGCAAGAGGAATGCGGTAACCAAGTTTCAAGTGGACCTGAGGAAAAAGTCTTACACAAGAGGTGTGAAAACGACCCACGAGTGAACTCTAGGAAGCTCAAATAGAGCCAAAGATATCCCATCCAACCATCTTTTGGAAGAATATCCCAGAGTATCTACGTGTAGCTTCCGTATGAGACAAATGGTAAGAACCCCCCTGTATGCAGATTGGATGACTATAATGATGATTTCGTTTTACTAAAAACTATGAATACCTGAAAGTTTTGTACCATAGTTGACATTGTTTGGAATAGCATTCCTTTCACTTGTCTGTTTTCTCATTTGTGACTTGGAGGGTTTTAGCGTTCGGGTGCTTTAATGTACACCGTCTATTAAGCATCTTAGCTCCAGATATAAAAAAGTATAGTTGAGTGTGAACAGGTTCTAATAAGCTGCAGTAAAGTAAATCGCGTCGATTAGCGATTAATGGTTTGGTACCTACATGGCACTGAGTTTCTATGGGATAAGCATAACTCAACCGTAAAATGATAACTGGATTGATGGGTGAAATTCGTTGCTGTACTGCAACCGATGATGACCATAAAATGCGAAGTCAGTGTACGTTGTCGTTCGCGCTGTAACCAGATACACCGAGTGATCGTTAAATATGCATTAGTAGGATAACCAGAGGAACAGAATAGTGACTGCAGAGAGATGAGATACATGGAGTTGTATTCATTTTTGTTCGTGAAGCTTTGAGAGGTTTGTGTGGTTTGAGAAGGATGCATTCGACATCGCTTGTCATTTGTTTTCTTTCCAAAACTATTCCACTGGATTATACTCCTTAAATAACATCATCAAACCCTAATGTTCCCTATCACTACTTATACTTTCACTACCTTTACTACTACGGGATTTGAATCGATAACTGAATCTCTGTGCTAATGTGGTATGGCAACTCGAACTGATGTACATACGTACGAAGTCCCACGTTGTTACTGACTGATCTCGCTTTTTACGAACCGTACTAAGGCATGACAAAATACCAATACATTTGATTAACGATGACGGACGAATGAGACTGACTTAAATGTGACGAAAAAGAGTGTATCCTCAGAAGAAAAGCTTTAAACTTTATGTTTTGGTATACAGTGAGACGGGAATAGAAATTTAATCGCAGTAATCAAGTAATGTTTATGGGTAATGAATGCTATAGAACACAGTTATACATATGAACGAATAGACAAGGTGAACATAGTTGTTACTAATCGGTTAGTAGTGTTAGTCATCTACAGACATACTAAGAGACAATATTTCAAAGGAAAATCTATGGTATAATAACATTTAAAAAATCTCAATCATGTGAACGAGTGTAATAACAGAACAAAAACAACACGAGAAAAATGGAACTCACTTAGAGCAGTAAATTTTGACCTCGTGAATAATACAAAGATAGTCCAGTGAATTGTAAATGTCACAACGTGAATGGGATACTCATAAAATTATAATTTAATGAGTGTGTGATATAAATGCGTAAATGTCACAATATAATATCAAGACGAGCAGCAATAATACTTAGACGTTTTGAGATAATATGACACCAATGTGATGATGAGAGTGTAACAATGTTTATAATCATAACGGAATGATTCAGCGGATGGATCGGTGAGATGAATTGACACGGGGATAAAGTACCATTAAGATAATACGAATTGAGCATGTCCATGTTCCTGCTTCGCTGAACGCGAGAGGTTAGATATTGAGTCCCTCGAGGTGCTCGTCGACAAAGACAGCTGATTAGTTCGGACAACGGCTTACCACTTTTGTATGATGACTTCATCGATTGAGCAAGCTCCGCTGAGTTCGTTCGTCAAATGTAGAGTGCAGAAAGTTTTTCGGAGACCTAGTTTGCTGAGTAAAATTCTTGGCGAACTCATAAATTTTAACGGCCCTGTATCCAACTACATTTGGATTGTATGCTGATTGTCATCGAAATACACATGTCGGCTATCCTCGTTTATTTCATCAACTTGGCTGCTTATCACTACTGTGTTTCTGTTGATGGTCATAGTAAGTCCACTTATTTATTTCTATTGACACTACAGATAAATTTTATTTGTTTTGTACTGTTATATTCCACATTTCATATTCTCTTCATTTCTTTCTAGTTTCTTGTTGAGCACTTTCATTGTGTCCTCCATGTTTCAGGCTGGACGCTATCCGTCTAATAACATCACTTGATAATTATCGTGGCAAGAAAAATAAATGTGTACTGAGACGTATAATTTATTGTTATCATGCGTAGGACAACAAATAATTAGTTTAAACCAATTGTTCGTATGATATTTTTTTGCAGAATTCGCTAAAATATTATAGGTTCAGAGTTAGGATTATCGTATTTGCAAACGACCTGTGCATAAATCAATATGATAAGTATATTTGTAATGTCAATTAAGTTGTTTTCGTTTTAATTATTTTGTAATTGTTATGGTAGATTGTGATTGTAAATGTTTCTTATGTATGAATTGAAACTCTATGTCTTAATTTGCCTATCTTGAAGATTCATAATGATTACTTTGTGTATTTTTATCATTTATTTTGCTAGTACATTTCCTGTCATGGTCTCCTTCTCTCCGGTTGAAATATCGATTACATATTTGATGCCGTTTCTTGACTGGCCATACATCAAGTGGTCCCATTGAGAAAAATTCACCAATCTGTAAATTAATGTATAATTGAAAATTTAAAAAAATCGTTACATGTCATTTTCCAAGAAATCTGATTATTGGAAGTTAAACTTTTTACAAGTTTATCCAGTGTGAACTCTGGTTATATGGCCCTAATTCATAAGTGCTCAGAAATCATTTATACAACCAGACGATTTGTCCTAAAAGGAGAGCGAATTGATAACTTTTGAAATGCAGAGGAGTTAGCAAACTATCTTTTCAAACATGAATTCTATGTATATAAGCGACATATGTGTATATGTCAGCATAAAGTTGTGCAAATTGTTGAATTTTACTGAGATCGGGAGCCAGTCAATCTTAGACCACCAATGAAAACCATGAAGCACTGGACGGCTGTTTCGTCCTAGTGTGGGAATTCAGCAGTGCGTATACAAGACCCCTCACGCAGTAATTGAAGTGCCATCTTTGATCTCGCGTGTGAAGGCTTAACATCTGAACCAATTAAGCCGGTATCCTACTGTGCTAATTAATGTCTAGGCTCAATCAATTTACGATATTGGGCAACTATCTTCGATTGTCTTCGAGGTGTAAATGACTCACCTGACACTGTTAAACTCCAGTGGTCACGGCTTCTCACTAGCACTACAGTAATTTCGTGTCGAATCCAGTAACTATTGAGGAAATGATAAATTAGACATCCACACTAGATGCCAGCTCAGTTGGTCTATAAGTTAAGAGTTCGCTCGCGAGACCGTAGGTGGTAGGTTCGATTCTTCAAGGGAGAGCCGTGGATAGTGTAGCCTAAATATGAGGCATATGTTAATATATTCATTTCTGAGTCATAAAGATTATTTCATACTACATATGTCTTCGTTTCTATTCGAATTTTTATCAAACTATATTCTCGTGTTTGTTAACATTTGTGTTTTGCGCTGTTGGTTTTGAGGTTTGTGGTTGACTAGTTTCTCTAGATATATAAATATTGTGTAGCGTTATATAATTAATGCTATCTTAAATAAAAGATAGGTACAGTGAAGTTGTACTCTAGAAATATGATTCTCATCTCAAATTGACAAGTGAAATGACAATCGAAATTTTGAGTATAATACTGTTAGTGAAAGCCATTTATTTGTGTCAACACACTCATACTACTGAAATGATTCAGTAGCTCGTTTACATCTCAAAGCAAAATTGTGGTACTTTACATAGTTTACAAGAAATTGATTTATTTTGAATTCAGATCATGTGCCATTTATGTATTTATCTATATAAGTGTATTACATATGGTTCAAATCTGAAATCAAATAATATTACTAGGGATGGTTTGAAATGTCTCATTAGTGTGAAGATAAATACTTGAATGAAGGTACATTTAACTGACGACTCCCAAATATGTTGAAACGCACATCCTGGATTCTAATATAATTCGCTATCAAACATATTTTTATGTTCGACATCTTTTTGTTGTTATTTATACCCTTTATGTATTGACATATCTACTCTTGCCATAGTTGATATAAGGTGTACAATCTGTAGTTGATGCCCATTTTTTTCCAAGAAAAATGTTTCATTTATGACTGACTAAAAAAATTGCATTATGTATTTGCCTAAATTAAATGTGATTGGATGTTAAAAAGTGTTTTCTTTGAACATACTACAGAATATATCGATTCTATTTTCACTATCAATTTTATATATTTGTTAATCTATAAAAAGAAGGAAAAGACCGAAGATACAGTATAAACCAAAATGACTTACCTTCATTCTAAAACCATTTTTAACTAAAACAATGAAAAATACCAATGGAATCATGCTAATTGATATTCCACTCATGGTCCAACCTAAATAAATTGACCATTTTGGATAAACATAAAATTGTGAAGTTCCGTGTAGGGTGATATTCACTCCTTCTGAATAATTAGTTGATAATTCTGGATGTTTTGCTCCATAATTATATTGTAGTGGTGAAGGATCTATCAGTGAACTGATTATCATAACCTTCATTGATCAGGAAAATTCGAAGAGAAAAAAATTAAGTGATTAATCCATATACTGACTAAACGGAATTTAGTAATCTGTTAAATAGTATGATCATTCCTTACGAATTACAAAACAATCACATGACTAAAATAAATAATACTTACTCGGTTGTTCATTACCATTAGTCAAACTATGTTGTTGAGTTGTAGCCTGAATATCTCATTGGTATTATTGTGGTGCGTGCTACTTATATTGATATAAGTAGTATATGATGCGAGTCAGGAATGCAATGTCTGGCGACAGAAGATGGGGAAGATCACGAAAGGAAGAATGGGAGTAGAAAGCAATTAGTATGGAAACGCAAGAACAATGAAGTCCGAGACAATTATTGAACATTTTGCAAATTAGGTATTATAGTATGCTTTTTCTATTTTACCAAGTAACTCTGTAATTTTGTGCCAAATATAATTCAATTGTCTTCACCTGTGTTCTCCTTCACTACATTTGGTGTCGCTGCCTCCACAAGGATGGACATTTCTATGGCCGAATGATTTTGAGGACGGAGACGTGCTGATCTTCCTGTAGGAGTTTGAAGCCGTGGCGGAGCTAGTGGGAGTGACGCTGCTGAAAGGCCGGGCGAAGGCTGTATATGATAGCTTGGACGGTGCTGGCGGAAACACGACTTGAGAGACAGTCATGGAGCGGTTAGTGGCAAAGTTCGGCAGCCCAGTAGACAGAGAGGAAGCGCTGAAGAATTTCCGGTTGGCGAGGTTGTCAGTCGATGTTGACCCACTGGTGTTGGCTGTGGAGCTCATTAGATTGTTACGCCGTGTGCTGCCGAATCTGAATGCGCAGTCGGAGGCACAGTTGTTGGCGGTATCCTTAATAGGCAAAGAGCAATGTAAGAGACTCAAGCCATGTACACTAGCTGTCCACACTATAGGAGGGCACATGATAGAGGTTTTGGGGTTATCTAACAGTATCGTAAAAGTGGGTGAGGCTGAGATAAATTTTTCGTTCGTGGTAACCAAAAGCTAATCGAGACCGATATTAAGAGCAGAATGCTTAAGAGAAGTAAATGCGACAGTTGACTTAAGAAGCGGTAAGGTGGTCACAAAGTATAGTTCATTGCCAATACACGAAAGTAACGAAGTGGCTGAAATAAGAAGGCAACGGACGTCTCGACGAGAAAAACAAGCATTAACGAGTTATGCACAAAGTATGTGAAACTGTTCACTGGAGATGGGGAACCGTATGGTTTTTGTGACAAAGTAAAGCATGAAATCCCGATAAAGAACGACCGAGTAAATATATTTACAACACGTCCAATCCCGGCGCATTTAGAGGCCGAGGTCAATTGACAGGTGTATGAGATTTTGAAAGAAGTTATAATTGAGGAAGCGGACAGCCCGTATAGCTCCCCAGTACTCTTGGTAAAGAAACCCAAAGGAAAGCATAAAGAACAGAATAATATAACAGACCTGAAACCTTGTGCAATGCCAACAGTGGCGGAAACATTAGATCCACTACAGAATGCCACAGTGTTTACTGTGTTGGATTTGCAGTCAGGATATTGACAACTGCCTATAAAAGACAGAGATCGAAGCAAGCCAGCATTTACTGTACGGGGTAAACAGTATCAATTTAAACGAATGCCGTTCGGGTTGGCGGGTGCACCGTCTACGTTCAGAAGAATAATGACGCTACTGCTCAATAATCTAAATATTGTTGAGGTATACGGCGACGATTTAGTTGTGTACAGCCTGACAGAAACAGATCACGCCAAGCATATGGAAGCAGTCTTAAACCGATTTGACGAACTTAGACTCCAAATTAATAAGTACAAGTCGCAGATAGCGAAAAATAGCGTCACGTTTTTAGGACATAATGTGGGAAATGGAGAAATAAAACCATTAGGGAGAAAACTCTTACTATAAAAAATATTGCAGTACCCAATTCGAAAAGGAAGTTGAGACAATTTCTTGGAAGAGCGGAGTTCTACAGTCGGTTTGTCAAGAATTTCAGTATCGGCCATGTTCCAGAAAAGGAAAACGTAATGGCGGATTACTTGTCAAGACCAGACATAGAAGCCGACCTTCCACTGACAGCATACGCGGTGAATAGTTTAGAGGGAGACCCAGTAGAACTCGTCCGGCAACAGAAAGCCGACCCTAACCTTCGAGAGGCAATCAGAGTGATAAAAGAGGGAGCAGACGTATGAAAACGGACAATGGACAAGGAGATATTAATGCTGCTTCGGCAAAAGGAAAGGCTGAGAGTGAACGCATATGGAGCCTTGAGCTGGTAGGACGATGAGAAAAATTGGGTGTCTGTGATCCCGAAAGACTGGTAGCGTAAGATAATACACGACTGTCACCAGGTAGCACATACAGGCATCGTAAGAACGACAAATTTACTACGACAAATTGCATACTTGCCGAGCATGAGAGACGATGTGGCTCGATACGTGTTAACTTGCCAGCAGTGTCAACTAATGAAAAGTGATCGATATACACAACCGCCATTACAGTCAATCCCAGGAACCGCAGTCGGTGGTCTGTGGTCGGTGGATGTAGTGGGACAGTTTCCACAGACGGCGAGTGGTAACTAGAACCTTCTAGCGATGACGAAACATGCTACACGTTGAGTAGATGCCGCACCCATTGCAGACCAGCGCGCAAAAACAGTGACCGAAGTGGTAATCCGGCATATTGTAGCGTGTCACGGAATACCGAAGATAATGGTAACTGACCAGGGTCCCTGTTTTGAAGAAGACAGGTTTAAAGCCCGTCTAAAGCAGTTTGGCATCCAGAGGATACAAACTACACAGTATCACCCTCAGACAAACGAGCCTACAGAGAGAAGCAACTGGACGTTAAAGGAATGGTTAGCATCTAAAGGAGGAAATTGGGAGAAAGAGTTACCATTGATCTTCCTGGCTCACCGTTCTTCTATACAAAAACAACCAGGAAGTCACCTTTCTTGCTCATGTATGGCAGACAGCCACGACTTCCAATGCATAATAAGACCTGTTCAAACCGACAGAAGTGGATGACAAAAAGGTTAAAAAAGAGAGGAGGGAAGCAATAAGGAAAGTGGAAAAGAAACAAATATCAGACATAAAGAAGGTGAAACAACAGAGGAGAACGTGGGAACCTTTTGCAGTGGGAGACCTTGTAAAGTGTAGAAAACGGAAAAGTAACATAACAGGGGATCAGGGTCGGGAAAGCTGATGTCAAAGTGAGAAGGACCATACGTTATCACGGAAAGACGTGGCCTAGTGTGCACGATCCGGAGAGAAGACAAGCAGAAACGCGTAAATGCCAGTCAACCGCAGAGATGGTTTCAAGATCATCATGAGTGCGAGTAGACAGCGGCACGGCGATCAGAAAGACTACGACGACCTCTTATTAAAAGGGGGGACGAGTGTGGTGCGTGCTACTTATATTGATATAAGTAGTATATGATGCGAGTCAGGAATGCAATGTCTGGCGACAGAAGATGGGGAAGATCACGAAAGGAAGAATGGGAGTAGAAAGCAATTAGTATGGAAACGCAAGAACAATGAAGTCCGAGACAATTATTGAACATTTTGCAAATTAGGTATTATAGTATGCTTTTTCTATTTTACCAAGTAACTCTGTAATTTTGTGCCAAATATAATTCAATTGTCTCCACCTGTGTTCACCTTCGCTACAATATCTTTATGAAGCTAGGTGACGTGGGTTCGATTTGACCTGGGAATATCAATTCCTTAAAGCTTGCAAGTGCAAATTATCATGAAACATGTATCCAGAGTTTCCTTGAGACTACCTGTTAACACCCAACAAAGTGTAGTTCAGTATATGGAACTACTGATTTTATTTTGTACACCTAAAAGGAACATAACTCAGTGCTTAATAGAATGTTAGTTTTGTTACACGTATATGTAAGATTAACACTAAGTTCCAAATAGTCCAAGGTATTAACGATCGAATTGATACCCTAAAGTGAATTTGTTAGCAACAAATGAATGGATGTCGCGAAATAATATCTTGTTCAGAGTCTGAAACACATATATAAACTGACTGGATCTGAGCCGCTTTATTCACGTTTTACATATGCCTCATAATATTCATGTGAATCATAGGCAAAGATGGATAGTGGCTAGCAGTTGGACTCGTTAGCTGGATGTACTTGCATCTCATAGTTGATGTTCATTCCGGGACTCGGACGCAGTACCAATCGCTTTAAACTCCATCGCGCTATTCACTTAATTACTGAGTTCTGATAACCACCTGCTTGTAGAATGGTGTGAATTTAAAATCACTTGGTGTTTGCTTGAATCTTCCCATTGAGGTTTAAGACCGAAATTGGATATTCTATCCATCTTTGTTTATAAAGCTTGTGAATTAAGGCAATACGCACAGTATGCACATATGCCAATAACTGACTAATCAATTACAGACTTAAACCTCAATGAAAGATTCAAGCAAACAATACCAAGTGAATCGTTTTCAGTTTCCCGGTTTGATCAGCGTTTTGTTCGACTTTTCAAGGGATTTTGACTACCAATAAGCTGTAATTGCACAATATGTGTAGTGGCACGTATCCAAAGACGTCAGTCGTTTTGTATGCTCAATCTTATTGACCGACCTTTTATACATAATACTACGCTTCTCTATTGATCCTGTTTTTATTTCAGTGACAAAATATTTGCGGTTCTTTTTTGTATGTCAATGGTTCACAAGCATGAAGTAAAGTAGAGTGAATTATTTTAAGTTTTCGAATGGCATAGATGTGCAACAAGTGTCGTCAGTTTGCTACCAAATTTTTACGGTAAAATGGATTATTTATATATAAAAGCAAGGCAGCAGTGTAAAAGTTAACGTGCAGCCTAATTAAAGGTACGACAAAGTTCTTGGTTTTAGAGTAGCTCGAATATTTTTCCCTCCCCACGCATGTAATGAAATTTTTACTGTATTCTTGGAGTAATTACGTCTTGTCCTACCATGTTTTCAAAAAAGGTCCCTATG